GGGGCGGTCTCTGACTACACCTACGAGCGGACGCTGATGATGGAGCAGCGCTCGCAGATGCTGCGGCAGCTGCGCCGCGCCCAGGTGACGTCATCGCCCCGGCCCGTGACGTCATCGCGATCACAGTGACGTCATCGCCATTCAGAGGATGTGAGGGCAGTGAGGGGGCGGGGCCTGACGCGCGGTGTCGGTGACGTCACAGGGAGGCCACGCCCTCTCGCAGCCGCCCAGCGCTGAGGAGGAGGAGGGGGAGGGGGGAGAGCCCCGGCGGGGACCCAGTCCGTGAGTGATACTGGGAGCACTGGGAGGGACTGGGAGGGGATTGGGAGGGACTGGGATGGGAATGGGAGGGACTGGGAGGAGAAAATATGGAGAAAATATGATGGTTTTGGGGCAAAAAATGGGAATTTTAGGGATAAAAATGGACTGGGAGGGAACTGGGATAAACTGGGTTATACTGGGAGGGACTGGGATGGACTGGGATGGACTGGGAGGGACTGGGAGGGGATTGGGAGAGACTGGGAGTGGACTGGGAGTGGACTGGGAGGGGACTGGGAGGAGAAATACGATGGTTTTGGGGCAAAAAATGGGAATTTTAGGGATAAAAATGGACTGGGAGGGAACTGGGATAAACTGGGTTATACTGGGAGGGAACTGGGTTATACTAGGAGGGAACTGGGAGGGATTGGGATGGGACTGGGAGGGACTGGGATGGACTGGGAGGAGAAAATATGATGGTTTTGGGACAAAAAACCGGGAATTTTAGGGATAAAAATGGACTGGGAGGGAACTGGGATAAACTGGGTTATACTGGGAGGGAACTGGGAGGGATTGGGAGGGAAAAACGTGACAATTTTTGGGCAAAAATGTGAATTTTAGGGATAAATGTGGACTGGGAGGGGACTGGGATAAACTGGGTTATACTGGGATGGACTGGGATGGTGCTCTGGGCCGAACTGGGAGGGACTGGGCCATACTGGGAGGGCGATGTTTGGGACTCTGGGCTGGATGGGGGGATACTGGTGGTGACTGGTCTGTACTGGTCTGCACTGGTTCATACTGGTTTATACTGGTTTGTACTGGTCAGGGGGAACGTCCGGTGCATGCACTGGGACATTGAGGGGGTGACCAGAGGGGTGGTCACTGGGGTAGACTGGTCCATACTGGTCCATACTGGTTCATACTGGTTCATACTGGTTTATATTGGTTTGTATTGGTTTATAATGCTCTATACTGGTTTGCACTGGTTCACACTGGTTCATACTGGTTTATACTGGTCAGGGGGAACGTCCGGTGCATGCACTGGGATATTGAGGGGGTGACCAGAGGGGTGGTCACTGGGGTAGACTGGTTTATACTGGGTTATACTGGTTTATATTGATTTATACTGGTCTATACTGGCTTATACTGGTTTATACTGGTTTGTACTGGTCAGGGGGAACGTCCGGCGCATGCACTGGGACACTGAGAAGGGTGACCAGAGGGGTGGTCACTGGGGGTGACTGGTCCATACTGGTTTATACTGGTTTATGTTGGTTTATAATGGTTTATAATGGTCTATACTGGTTCATACTGGTTTATACTGGTTTATACTGGTCAGGGGGAATGTCCGGCGCATGCACGCGGCCGAGCGCCTCAACGCCGCCATCGCTGCCCACTCGGGGGGGGCGGGGCTGGTGCTGCTG